ATCCCGCCCTACCGACGGGTACACAAGGTGAGGAAAGTTCAGCAGAACACGGATCATCGGGGACCCCCTCCGTTAGTCGGTGTCTGGGCGCAGTTGGTAAGTTGGATCTGGCAATCTCGCAGATTTTGCTGATCCCGCTACACCACACCATCTAGAAGAGGCAAATCGCGTTCGAACTATGCGTGGGTCAAAACGAATGGGATGCCCCATGCGAATCAAGATCGTCGCTGTCGATAAAGAGAATACTGAAGGGGCGTGGAGAATCGTTTTACCTCGAGACGGTAGCCGCATCCACAACCACCCAGCTTCGTTGGATGTCCGTGTTCACTCTGGTCACCGGCGCCGCAGTGCTCAACAGAATACGACTGCTCAACTTTCAACTGTGAATGATTTGATTTTTTTTCATTTCGACAGCTGTCTGGCTACGCTGGACCGATTGCTGGCAAGATTTGCACAGTGTCGGATCAGTGCGTTCCTGTGTCCAAAGTATACGCTACCCTACTGCTATCCGACAAAACCTCTCTTGTAATTCCGAAGGACATTGCAAACACTAAAGACACAAGGCGCAGAGACATGCTAGCAACAGACACAGCAATTGAAGCTCTTTTCCGCAAACTTACCGAGCATGGATTCCACTACAAGTACGAGGTGGACCCTGAGTCACGACGCTTAAAATACCTGCTGTGGGCCCACCCTGACACTATAAACTTGGCACGACATTACATGGGTGTCGTTGTTATGGACTGTACATACAAGACAAACAAACACAACTGGCCTCTGTGCAACATAATCATTCTCACTGGGTTGAACAAAGTTCTCCCTCTTGCTCAGTGCTAGCTACCAGGCGAAGCCGAGGCCGACTACACGTGGTTTTTCAACCAACTAAAGCTTCTTCTGTTAGCAAATAGCGTGCAATTGCCTCGACTTCTCGTAACAGACCGAGACCTTGCGTGTATGAATGCAAGCGACGCAGTATATCCTGAGATCCCTAAAATTCTGTGTCGCTGGCACGTCAACCGAAGGGTTCTGGCGCGCGTGCAAGACGACCTCGGAATTATACGTTTATCTAGACCGGGACCGAACGGTGAAATGAAACATAATTCAGTGGAGACGGATGTATTCATGGCTAAGTAGTATGAGGCAGTTGCGTCCGAGTCGGTGTCTAAATTCGAAGAGCATTGTGCGGTTTTACGAGGCCTTAGCAGTTCTACCGCTGAATATCTAGAACGGACTTGGTGGAAATATAAAACCAGGATAATCAAATGCTGGACGGATCGACATGTTCATTTCGGCTGTCACGACACGTCCACCGTTGAAGGCACTCATGCGAAGATAAAACGGTGGCTGGAGACCTCGAAAGGAGATTTATTGACCGTTTTCGTGAAGCTTCTTCCCTGGTGGAACGCTTCCGCTAAAACTATCACATTTCAGTCCGCACAAGATGCCACAATCGTTCCTCACAGACTTCGGTGGGACCAGTACTCTGCTGTTGTTCGGGTGATATCTACGTACGCACTCACGGAGACTGACAAACTCTGGAGAACCGCTCGTAACTTGGTCACTTCTGGTAGCGAAATATCATCATGTTCAGGGGTATTCAGACTCACTCATGGAAGGCCATGTCTTCATGAACTGGTTGCAATTTATTCATCCAATGGTCAGCAGAAGATCTTGCCGGAACACTTCGACAAACACTGGTGGATATAGTTAAATGATGACAGACTGAACGACCGTATTCTGGAGCCTTCCAACTTGCAAACCAGGCGCAAAACACCCAACTCGATCAGCCAACACAAGGCGGGGCATGGCGCAAACAGTACGCGACGAGAAGCGATCTGGTTTGAGCGACATGACCGAATGATCCAATCTGATACACCTGCGCTCTCTTTTCAGGCGCTTTTAGCAGAAGACGACAGCATTACGTTTTTGCCTCCGCGTAGTTGGGGTTACGCAGGCTTGAATTAATAGTTTGGCAAATCAGTAAAAAAACAAATAAAAAATAATAAAAAAATAATACCACCGGGAGGAATCGAACCCCCTTCATCCCTTTCGGGTGCTTTTCCATTAAGCTACGGTGGTGCGCTGGAAAGATAAAAGTAGCATGATGGTAGTTAGCAGATTAATTGATACACGAATTGTATAGAACAGCTTACCTTTAATTGTCTGACGGGGAATTAACGGCATGCCGCGACAACCCTCTTAGGACATTAGCCCCCGCTCAATTTGCCCTTCGGCAGTCAATCAGACAATGGGCGCGATACCTTGTTCTCAACTCTATCTCAGAAATATTCGTGAGATAAACCTTTTTTTTGAAAGATTCTTCCTCTAAGAATAATCTTTCAGAATATTCAGCCTGATGATGAAGATCGATTTTATGACATGATGCCTCTAGTCAGGTAAAAGTGCATAGGTGCTCCATAAGTTTGGGCGCTCTTATTGGGCGCTCCTATTTCTCCCTCGAATTCATATGCTTACTGTAACTAGCGTATTTCTGCCTTAAATCTGCTACTGTATAATAATGCAGGAGGAATGCATGTCGCTGCCCTTCGTGACAATTTTTCCCTTGTGTGTCAGTTGCCGCGTTGCGGTCTGACCTGCATCCGCACATGTTTGACTGGAAATGACAGCATGACCCGTTGACAGCTGATCACCTGCTGTCCACATCAGATGTGCTCGATGCGAGACACACATCTTGTACCCAAATGACTCGTAGTTCTGATTTATCTGATATTCATACAGGACCCCAAACAGTCAAACGCTATCGACGTACGCTACATGAAGATGCTCAGTGCACACTCGACGACAAGGCTCTGGCAAAGGAGAGC